ACAATTGCTAGAAATTAGTGTGACTATACTGTAAAGAAAAATAGGAAAAAAATAGGGCCTAAAGAAAAACAGGTTTGGGAACATTCATATCAAATTAATTGACAACTATATGATAGTTTTGGTTTTGAAGTTAAAGGCACACCAGAGCTTTCACTATACAGACTGAAAACAGATAATATGTTCAGGAACTCTTTGATTCTATAGGATAAGAAAAATAATACTTTGACCAGATTATTATTAAGCTAAGTATTTCGACCATATCTGATTCCATTTTATTTTTTTTACTTTTACATTAAGCATGGTCATAAATTCCACCATGTGTATTACAGATTTCAGTATTAGAATAGGTTCTCTTCTTACAGACAGGGTATATTGTTCTAGAAAGAACATAAAAATATCTAGAATACCCTAATTCATGTCAGCATCCTTTCCCACAAATCGAACTATCTCTCATATTGACAGGTTAGACAATCTATACTAGGTAATTTTAATACTAATAATCTCAAAACTTCATCTTTACTTTTATTATAGATATTCAAAAATGTGTTATGCCAGTCTAGAGTATAAGCTATATCATCTTTATTTTTTTTTCATGCCTCTCTAGCCAGTTTTTCTTATAAATAGGTTTGGCATAATCTGTACAAAAGTCAGTTTGGGAATATATCAGCTTATTACAGAATACACACCTTTTTTTAGGTAGTGACTTATAATGTCTAACACATCCAATCTCACACAAGCATCTTTTTTCACAGATAGACCCATCTTTTTTGATATATTAGTAAAACCAAAATGGTAAATTAGAAGTAATCTCTTAGAATCCTTTGAATCAGCTATATTTCCATCAAGATTCATAGTACTTCTTTTTAAAAAAGTTACTAAGATTAATATACGTCAAAACTTCCCTTTATTTTTTATTATAAATAAATCTAATAAATATTCGAAAATATGACACATGTTTTCTAAAGAAATGAAAATTATTTTTATTTTAAAGGTTTGATTTTCTTAATATACATATACCAAAAAAAATTCTACTAATCTACTTATCATTAATATGGCTACTAAAATGGCTACCCCAAAGACCTGAAAATCTAAAGTTAATAACTTTGTATTAGTATTAGAGTAATTTCTAGAAAAGCATAATCTGTCAGCTGACTCTACCCCAAAACAATTAAGCAAACATGCTCCTGAACTTGATGCTTTGCTTTCTAATTGGATGGCCTGTAGATGTGTTAAGGTAGCTCTTGCTAAACTTAAACATTCATTTAATAAAAAAAAATAGAGGCTCTTTTTCTAGACAAAAGAAAGGAAAAGTTTACTATAGAGGAAAGGACAAAATACTGCGTTATAGTTGATGATGCTATAGATATTTTCATCCATCATCTAGACTTAGGTCCAAAAAATAAAGATAAAAATGAAATAGTTGCCAGTGGCTCATGTTAGTCAACATTCTGTGTGAAGTTAGCAGAAGGTGATATAGATCTCGCAATTATTGAAGCATTTGCCAAAGATAAGGAACTTATTTAAAACTCTAATAAAATTTAGAAGAAATGAACTAAGAAACAAATGGCTAATCCAGATAGAATTCCAATACACTTCTCCTTAACGAGGGTATCTAAAAGGCTTCAGAATATGAAAGTATCTAAAATTCCTATTAGAGAGGATCTTGCAGATGGGATAGTGATGTTAAGTATGAGACCTGCAAAAGTAAGATCTCTTTAAATTATTTACTATAAATTGGATCTTTCGAATATTTCAGCATAGTTTAAAGAAGGCTATTCTTGATATTGCATAAGTTATTTAAAAAGTAGAGAAGAAAAGAAAAAGAATTCTGATTCTCAACTATTTCTTTCTATAGAAAAAAATCCAGAACGCATCAAGGAATTACTCACCTAGATCTGAAATGCAATTAAGGTAGGAAGTTGCATAATCTTGTTTATACTAAAAGTGAAACACATAATACTTGGCCATTTAATGAATTCTTAAAACAAGAGCCTTATAGAACTATATCTAGAAAATTAAAGGAATATGGAGCTAAACATACTTTCAGAATTCATGGTGGTAAGAAATCAACACCTAAACATCTTAAACTGCTTTCAAGAATCGCAATAAGGCAGGAATCAGACCATCTTGATACAAGAAATAATTATGCTATAGGTGATATAGAATCAGAGAAGTCCTCTTATAAGAGCAAGAGTCTAAAATTCCAAATACAGGCTTCTTCGTCTGCATTTCAGCTCAATCTAAAAAAGTCTTAAACTATGAATATAAATTCAATATTAGCTGAAATTGATGTAATGTTAGCTGAAATTCAAAAATAAATTCCATCCTTTTTAGTATTGCAGAAGATAAGCTAACTGTTTAGTGAAATTTCTTTTTGAAGTTGATGTATAGAAATAATCAGAAAATTTTTCTTCTAAAGATCTTTGATCAAAAGAGGGATTATTATATTTATCTCAGAAGCTTTCATATTTTGTAACGATCGTAGCCTTAACTGGGAGTATAGTAGTCTTATTTTTGTAACATATATTTAAAAAGGATCATAACATAAAGATAAGGTGAGATAGTCTTTTTATCTGCTATGGCAAAAATCGAACAATATAAACTAATTAATATTATACATATCTTTTCATCATTGATCCTGATTTATTCGTGATCTTTATTCTGTAATGCTCATTTCTAAGATATCCATTTCTGAGATGCTCATTTCTGAGACATTTATTTTTGAGATAAATTTTTTTAGGGTAAGGCTAATTTCATTTTAGTCTTAATATATGAAAAAATATTTATGTAGGGAGAAAAGGGCGAGAAATCTTCTTTATGATTTAATAGTATGACTAGCAAATTACTAGCAAGTCCTTCAGAAATTCATGCAGATGATACAGAGGTTTTTCAACTTAAAGCACTTTCATTAAATTTCCTAAGAAACTTTTCTAAAATAACTAATGAACATATCCTGAAACTTAATCCTTACCACTTTTGTGATAAAGAAATTCTTGCCTTACCATTTTATTCATTTACAGTATTATCATGTGAACATATATACCATTGAATATGTCTTGAAAAATATATTGTACAATCAGAAACATGTTTTCCTTTATACTCTATTACTAGTTATATATCATCTATTAAACTTATTAGAGAGGAACTTGTACTAGCTTCTGGTGAGTATCACATGGTGTCTAAGAATAAGAATTTCAGAAAAAAAAGACCCCTTAAGTGATGATACTATAGAAGACAAAGATTCTTTTGCAGGTCAGGGGAGAAAGAAAATCAAAGTTACTACACATGATCAAGCGACAAGTCTAATTGCATATGTGAAAGAGATATCAAAGCTATCAGATATCATCGATGATGTTGAAAATGATAATGATAGGAATAACAATCATAGTTCTCAAATAAGGTAGGTAATGTAATGAAAATGAAATATATAGTAATCACACTTACTTTTCATTCTGTTTATTCCTTGAAATCTATGATTGAAGAATGAATAATTCGACTAATCAAACAACTGAAGATGACATTACTAATATATAAATCCAATCATCAAGAGAAATATCCCTAAGAACTAATCGTGAACAGGAAGATTTTAAGGGTTGTTATATGAATTATCTACACCTATTAAGAAGGAGACTATTGAAACTAATAATGAGGATGAGGGTTCTGAGGGTTTGATCTTGTAGAATTTAGCTTAATTATTTCAAAAAATAATTAAAGCTAAAAAGTGTATAATTCAAGCTTATCAAGAAGAAATTTCCTGTTGATACTACTATGCTGAAAGGTTTGAAAAAAGTATTAAAGATGTTAAAGATAATGATAAGAGGGTTAAAAATCAACAGGCTAGGATCCAGGTATATAATGCAATTTTAAAACATTTTTCAAATATTACAAGAGAAAATTTACATAAGAAGACATAGAAGGCAAGAAATATTTTTAAATTGTTCAGTAAAATAGGAATTAAAAAAGTCAAGAGGGTTCAATCTTATAGTACAAATAATATTTCAAAGCTTACAGATACTCAAATCAAAAGTATTATAGCTCATTTTGCTCAGAAATCATAAAATTCTTTGCAGATTACGTGAACTATAATTTACACTATGTGACCATTACACTACAGTTCCCAGCGAAAAGAATGGTGGTTTAAATACCACATCTATTTTAAGCTGAAACATAAACTGCGTTTCCAATATGGGCCATTGTTTATATGATCAAATTAGGCGCTGAAATCATAATATAAAAGGTAAGTTAAAAAAACTTATGTTTGTTTTTGTTTTTGTTGTGATTTCTTAACTGAAAAAATGCTAAGCTCTCTTGAAATTCAAAGAAATTCCG